ACGGACAGTAAGAATTGTTAGCTGAATGGCCGGGATTACCCAGAGTGATTGGCTGTTGATTGATTTGTGATTAATTGTGCTTAATTGTGAAATGCCATGTTGTGTGCTTGTGTGGCTGAATCGTGCGGATTGTGATTGGCCAATTGACGGCTTGAATTGAGTATGAAATTGTGTATTGGGAATTGGGCCGCACGGTATTAATTGGCCAAGTGAGCAGATTGTTATGGCATAAATTGACTGGGTGCCTAATTATATTTAATGCTTATGGTGCAATGTGCTGCATTTCATGGCCACGCATTGTGTATGCCGAGAATGAGACGTGTGATGAGATTGTGCGAGAATGCGTGCCTGACATGAGCATGTGATCACCTAATTATACCCTGATGCGTTTTACGCGGGGTTCAGATAATAACCAGTTGTGTGTATGTGTGATTACATTTCGCCCTGATGCGTGTTACGCGGGGTATGCCGTCCTCATGCACTTTGTAGCAGGACGATGCCCGGTACGTCCGGAAGACGACCATCCTGATGCGTTTTACGCGGGCTCTGGTTCGTAAGGAGATCGGTGTTGCGCCTGATGCGTTTTGACGCGGGCTAGAGACACTGGGCCTGGAACGTTTTTACGTTGGCCACGAAGTGTTGTGATTAAAAAAGGGACCTGATGCGTTTTCACACGGGTCGTAATAAATGATAAATTGAACCTTTATCAGTGTGCTAGTGTGGGCTAGTAAGCCGAGACATAAATATGGCATGATGACAGCATATGCATGCATAAGAATGCATGGACCAGTGTGCGAGAATCGATGAATTGCATGTGATACGAACACTAGTGAGCGGGAGCATGCGTATGACGTACGTATGATTAACGTGTTCGTGTATATGAATTAATCAGTGTGTTGAGATGTTTAACTTGCAGGGTCAGCCAGGTAAGTGATCGGGGTCCGAGGGCCCTGGTCGGAAAATGATTGTGATTTGTGTATTATGCTAATTGTGTTGTGTCGGTCAGGAGAATGCATGTTAGCCTAACCTAGGATTAGGGGTTATACTTACTGAGATTCGTCTCACGATTGTAATAACCCAACTTTTCAGACCTCCAGCCATGAGCATGCCGAAGCCGCCACCGCTTTTTGGGATCCCGACACAGATCCACACCACTACTAGAGTATACCCGGCAGGGAATGGGAAGGCGTATGTAAGATATCGCTCTATAGTATTTGTAAATGTGGGTGAGTATTTTCATCAGACTCAAGAATATGTGGCCTGGTGCTTAAGAGATGCAGACGGAAACATTGGGCGACCCCTCCGAACATTTGACGTCCCGATAGATATAACTGGGGTGATGATTCCACAGATGGCTGATGGCGAGATTGTGGATCCCCCGATCATAGATGAGCAGGTTGAGGTGAATCCAATACCCGAGATTTGGTATGAGGACCTTGAGCCGATGGATGAGGAGCCGGAGCCGGAGCCGATGGACCAAGACCCGGACGAGGACGGAGAAGTCGCCGAGATAGGATCTGATGAAGATCTAGGAGCAGATGACGAGTTAGGTCTTTACTTAGATCCGGAGTTGGAGCAGGATTCCGAGGACGAGTGGGCTGCAGCGCAAGATATGGAGTCAGAAGAGTCTGAGCCCTCTTAGAGTTCTTCGGAAGAGTCTGCAGGGTCGTCAGACCCAGATTGGGAGCCTTAGGATAGGCTGTATGCATGGCAGGAGTGGCCGTACATTTTTGTTTGTGGTCCTCCTCATAGATCTACCCAACTCACCCTAGCCACCTATACCTTTTTGTTTAGTAGTGGCTGTTGACTGTTTTGGTCTGGTAGTGGATATGTACACCCGTTGTAAAACAGCTTTTAGTAGTAATACAAAAAGTACATATTTTCAGCTGTTCGATTTTGATGTAGTGCTATCCTTTGTCTCATATTCTAATTGTCAGGGTTTATTTATTGCTTCCGCTTGTGTTTGTTCTCTGATTTGGGCATTGGGTCGGCGACGGTTCCTGGGACGTCGCGCGCATATCGACCAACCAGTAGGGATGTTTGCGTGCCGTAGGATACGGGGCGTGACAGCTGGTGTCCGATCACCGGCCAAACGAAGAAGAAGAAGAAAGAAAAGAAAAAAGGAAAAAACAGAAAAAAAAAAAATCAGAAAAAAATTTAAAAATATTGTTAAATATTGTCCTCGTCAGCGCCGACGTGCCACGTAGAACTGAGAAATTAATAAAATATGGCCACGTCAGATTTCCGGCTTCCCAAATCGGAGTTGGCACTTAAGTGATCGTTTTTTCAAAAAAGTTGCACTTAAGTGATCCGAAACAAACTTTTGGCACTAAAGTGAGCGCCATACACAAGTTTTGGCACTTCTAGTGTTCTTCACTCCCAAATGTTGCAGCGCGTCGTCCCCAAGGATTGGGGCTCCAGTCTCCTGATCATCGTCACAAAGACCACAGCCAGTCGCCATAAACTTTGATACCACCTGACGCAGCGTTCAGCGAATAATTCAAGCAAAACCTTGCTTAGAGAAAGAAATCTCGAAATTCAATATTAATGATAATGTTCTGTTCTTCAAAAAGAACTCTAAAACAAGCTTATATATCCCTAAACCAAACCCTACTAGGACTATAAAGCATAAAATATCAAAATTACAAAACTGTCCTTAAAATTAAAACCCATAAAAAATATTAAAATAATAGAAAAACCCATGTAAACGATCCCGAATCGCTAAAATTCATCGTTAGTCACGGCCAAAAGCGTGAGTTTTGTTCAGATCGCCGTTTCGCTTCAAACGACCGAATTTGAGCCCGATCCGATGTCGTCAACCGGGTCCGCCGGTTCTAGTCACATCACCGTTTCGCCTTTCATTTGGACTTCTGCCTGTCCAACTGGTCCAGAAACGCACCACTAATATATTCTGCATCAGATACTACTGTTAGTATTTGATATTTTGTGGAAGCATGGTTTTGGTATCGATTATAATTTGTGTTTTGATTTGTGCAAGTGTACAAGTGTATAAGGTACTTGGTCGAGGTTGGACAACGATAGGATACTTTGAGGAATACAGGCAAGGTTTTTGGGACAAGAATATAGTTTCTTTAGTCGTTGGAAAAAAATGGTATCAGATGCACATCATGCGGACCAAGTTCATCTAAATCGCTATTGATAGTATGAATTCCGTGATGAGATATACATGATTAATGATTTCGATGTTTTTAATATATGTACTATAGTCTATTCTTTTGAGATTGATGTACTTACAGCTTAGCAATGGCCATTGGGTTATGCTAGCCCAAGCGCGGTACAACCCGACACAATTGGTCCCGTGCTAGCCGAGCTTGTTTGGAGAACGGTCTTCAGAGAGAGAGAGAAATCTATGCCCTGTTTGATTAGTATGGTGACCAGAGAAATTAACCTCCTCAAATAAATCCAGTAATGCTTCGCCTGTCCTATACACATGCACTTGCACACATTCAAACTACAAACTATCATTGAGATCAAAATCATGCTTTCGTGCAATTCTAAAAACCAACATGGTGTCATAACTCCAAATTCTACACATTTTGTATCGTTTGCGATGTTTGGCTCAACAAACCAATCAATGGAAAATATTTCCATGGTCAAAGACTAAAGGGAGACTTGTATGGATCACTATGGAGGATATCGACACAAGTGAGATTAAGTATCTTTGTCAGCATTAATAATTAGCCACCGCTACCATCATCACCACCTTCACCAGCCATCAACCATCGCAGTCACCAGAGCCACTGAATTACCACAACTGTTGCTAGAACTTATCCATAACGGTCATCATTCTATTTGGTAAGAAATTGATAAAATTTAGCCGTTCATATTCAATTACTATCATACAACTTTTATCTCTATTTTCAGCACTTGAAGATAACCAGCACTTGTTATTCGAGATCAATCCGCATCTCATCTCCAATGACCACTACCAATCTCATTTCCTCCAACTCCCGCTGATCTGCTACGATCTTATGTTGACCATTCCAAATTCTCCAGACTCGTAGGGAACAGATTCGTCCCCAACGAACACCGTACATTAATGGACATCAGTTTCAAACATATTGAAAGGGTGACAGGTTACCAGCAACCCATCCTCAAAAATCAAACACTGTATGCCTAGTCCCCGTTGCTCAAAACAATGCAGTAAAGACCCTTCAAATACAACAGCCAAAACTCCCCAAAATGCTCTCTGAAGCACCTGAACAAAGATTGGAAAAATAAAAGAGAGAGAGATGCAGAACAAAATAGAGTTGGATGGTGAATCGGGGGAGCCATACGTCAAAAGGTACAACTAGACCTATTAAACGGGTGGGTTGAGTTTGGTTTGGGTCGGGTCAAACATGATCCGACCCAAATAGACTCATTTAACCCGTTTTCACCAATTTTCATGTAATACAAATCTAATTATTCATATTCGACCCGATCCATATTGTTAAAACACTTCCATATTTTACTCAATTTAAAATAACTCATACCCAAACTGAGATGAAAGTGCGGGGTGAGTGAGCAAGAGATTGAGTGAGGGTAAAAGAGATTAGTTGAGTTTAAATAAGTTGTAAACCCATTTATGACGTATTTAGGATTCATTTATGATCCATTTAACGCCGATATTATGTTTATACCGATTTATTTACTGATTATAAATAATTTATATATGATTCATTATGTCCTATTTTGACGGGGTATAAAACAACGAACTTGTCTGAGTGGGACGAGTGGCGTCAAAAAATGGACCTTTCACGTCGACAGCTCCTCCTTCCCGCTTCCTGTGTTCGGTTCGCTCCAAGAAAAACAGAAAGCCCCCCCACGCCTTCTTTACTCGAGAAAATATCTTACCCTTAAAAAGAAGACAAAAGATATCAGCCCCACCACACCTATCCACTTGCCACGTCACAATCCCTACCCCACCACTCACACTTGTCAGCACACTGAATCGCACCCAACTTGGTACGACCACCCTCCTATTCACTTCGAAGTCCCAGACTCACTCAGATTCTCTGCGTCCTTCCCGCTCCGTAGGAAGGAACCGAGAGTCCATCCAGCCTGTATCCTCTTTATCCAGTGTCCAGTTCCTCAAGTGGCAACAATCCCCACGCTTCTTCACACATGTATATATATGGAACCACTACCTCACTCCCTCCTAATTCATCACTACTCCAGCTTCATCTCTCATATAAATAGCCCTCCCACATTATCCACTTCGCTCGCTCAACAGCTTATCACCCTTGCCCACTGCAGACCTGCTCCAATGGACCCTTTCTCTTCCTATTCCGATCCCAACTCCTACCGCTTCTTCGACCTTGCCGAGCCGTCCTCGCCCTGGTCGCCGCTGTCCGATGGCAGGATCGTGGCGGCAGTGGCACTCGGGGGGCACTTTTCCGACGAGGAGGTGCTCCTCCTCGCGTCGCATCACCCGAAGAAGCGCGCGGGGAGGAAGAAGGTCCAGGAGACGCGCCACCCCGTGTACCGTGGGGTGCGGCGTCGCAGCTCGGGCAAGTGGGTCTGTGAGGTCCGCGAGCCGAAAAAGAAGTCGAGGATCTGGCTCGGCACGTTTCCCACCGTGGAGATGGCGGCGAGGGCGCACGACGTGGCAGCACTAGCGCTGAGGGGCAGGTCTGCCTGCCTCAACTTCGCGGACTCCACGTGGAGGCTGCCCGTGCCGGCGTCGTCGGATGCCAAGGACATACAGAAGGCGGCGGCCAAGGCCGCAGAGGGGTTCCGGCAGGCAGTGTCCGAGGACGTGATGTCCGGGGACGAGAAGAAGTTGCGTTCAGAAGAGGGAGTGTCATATGACGACGAGGATATCTTCGGGATGCCGGGGTTGCTTGCGAATATGGCGGAGGGGATGCTCTTGCCTCCGCCACAACGCAGCGGAGATGGATATGGCAGCGCGGATGACCGGAATTTGGACGCATACGTGTCATTATGGAGCCATTCCATCTAATCACTTCTCAATTCCACTTGTAGTTTTTGTTGATAGGGATCGACTTTGCTGCCGTACTTATAAGTTTTTTTTAATAAGAGTGTGGTTACAAGGTGAAGGGTATGAAAACAGGAGATGTTTTCGGAGGCCATTTTGTGATGACGCACAGCTTTTCTGATGCTGGGCCTCCTCCGATAGAGCGGATAGGAAAGGGCAAACGAAGATCAAAGTAGGCTGGGGTTCATTGTAACATCGGGCGTTGCATATATTTGATAAAGAAACTGCCGAGTCATCATGAATTTGAGAGAAGTTTTCAGACTTACGCAATTTGATCTTTGAATGTATTTTGTATAAGGCCAAAGTGTGCCCAGGAAATTCGTATGGGTTCTTTAGGTTCAGGTCCTTTTTGCTCTCGGCTAAATTCTAGAGAAGTCCAGCAAATGCGTACGGCCCATTACAAGGGTTAACGGAATGACCCTGTTTCCGTGCAAAATTGATCTCAACGCTTCGCAATGAGCTCATAGATAAAGGAAACCGACAGAACCCACAGACAAGACAATCCCATATAAGTGCATTAATCTGGAAGACATGATGATGATCCATATTGAAAATGGTTTTATTATTTGTTGGAGACTCAGATTGTGTTTGATCCCGCGAGCCTTAAAAATGGTTGACGTCTTCTTGTTCTGAGAAGAGGGGCATCTCCCCTGCTCATGACTCTCTATCTATTAACCATACGAGGCAAAAGAAACAAAAAAAGGATGATAGACTGTTATAAGCTGGCAATGAGTCTTCTTGGGGGCATTGGTGTTCACCTAAAGCAGCAACAGTTATCTCAATGAACAATAACACAAAGGATCCAACAGTTTTAACACAAGCCAGGATCTGAGGATTCTGGAAATCCACCCGACAAGATTTTTAATGCGGAACATGCTGAATCATTCATCCGATACTCATCCACAACTCACTTGATATTTCTGCAACGGAGCCTGTCTCCGCAATATGCCTGAACTTCAGGGAGATCAGTTTCTTTACTTGCCACATAACTTCCTAGTCTCAACATACTCTTCATACGAAACTTTTCTGACCAACGTGGCACTCAAGCCTTGACCAACTAAGAAGTTTTCTTAGCAAAAACCCGAGAAAGCAATGAGAAGTTATGATTACATAAGGATACTGCTGATCCTATAGAAATTGATTTAAAAAAAAAAACGCAAATGACCCCTCTGTGGAAAACAAGCATTTCACGTACAGCAAAGCATATACACCATCAGATAAGAGGGAAATCCAATGAAACAATTGGGTAGAGCGATCCACGTTACTGACACAATTTACCATCTGATTAGTGCGCGCATCTTACGACAAAGTCTACTTCACCTTCTTTAGGAGAATTGTTGTCCTCAACTCAGCATCATCTCTGATGAAGCTCCACCAGAGGTAAGATAGAGGAATGGTGGTGGCATGCCAAAGGGCATGAGCATCCACAAAACCCATGTAGGGGGGAAAGTCATATATTTCCAATAGCAGGGCCAAACCTCCACCCACCACTACTACCCACAACTTCCAACGTGAAGGATGGTGGGTAACACCTGCCCAAATTGCCCATATAAGAAGTTGAGTAATTCCCATGACCACGCAGACCTTCATGTTCCAACCTGCAAAATCATCAATTAGATCACTGCCATTTCCCAGATTTCGTACTCACTGTGCCATGCGTGATGGTCCTAGAAATCCTATTTCAAATGATGCAGTGAATAAGATCGCTGGTTATAATGTCTTGCCTGCCAGACTTGACCCACTGTCAAACTGACCATGAGACTATCTATGCAAGTGACCAACCTTGGCCCAGGCAAGAAACGTAGTTTATTTAGTTTCCTGGGTCTAAGTTCAATATGAATTACAGCCTAGAACCCATGGCAGTGGCAGGCCTTACCAGTCTAATGAGCAGGTGTGATTGAGAAAAATGTGGTATTTTCAATAATCTGTGAGTTGGTTATCACATATAAATGTACACTGGACCCCATACAAGCACGGTTATTCATAATTCCAAACCTTCAATGTGATTAGTGACAAAGAGAGAAGAAGGAACTTTTAGAGAAAGTTATTTACCATAATCGAATTGGTAAAAGTTCAGATACAGGATATGAGTTGTCACAAATGCTATAACTGGGGCAGAAAGCATGACCCTGGAAGCCTCAGCTCTTATGTTCAAAGCTCTTAGTAAAGCCAAAATGAGGGAAAATCCAAGCAATGCCACGGCAGAGGAGTAGTCCAGCCTTTCAGTCAACTCAACATCTCTAGTCAAATGCACATGTTAGCTGAGCCAAATCACAGAAAACAATTACACCATACTTGCAATATGTCCATGGAAGGGTGATTGGATAGGCATAGTCAAGTTATATGAGATGCATTATTAATATACTTTGTCCAACAAGAGGTCTCAATGTCAACAATTCATCAGAGAATATCATATCCAAGATATCATTTAAAGCAGCTTGTTCTTATTTTACATCTTGTGCCTTCCTCATATAAAGTAAGTGGCAGAGCATTTAATAGCTAGCAATTTTGGTCATGATAAGATGAAAAATAACAGTAAAATTAGAAAGCTCGTATCTAGTATCTAGTGCCGATAATAGTATCCATTAAAAAGAAAAGGAAAAATTAGTCTAGTGACAAGCATAAATATTTTAAGGTTGTCTTAATTTTGACAAATTAGAAGCAAATCCTTCTTTCGAGGGAAGAGTGCCAGAGTTGTCGAATTAAGAAGATTTTTGGAGCCTGAACCTCCGTCAAGAGCCATGGTCTACACATATGAAGAGTAAAACACAGACATAAATCTATTGATGAATACTATATATTACCGACTGTGGAAGACAGCACTCCAAAACCAAGAGTTCATGGAAAAGATGCCGTATGTGTGCCACAAGCCAGTATATTCATAGTAAGTTTTCCTGTCTGGTCTCAAAGGTAGCTTGTAGTACAAAAGGATGAAAAAGGATAGCCAGCCATGAAATTGCACGGAGAGGTTGAGGGCAGAGAGTGCCACAGAAACAGGCTCCTAACAAAGACGATAAAAATTGTCATAACAAGCTTGAATACACTGGGGTTAAGATCCATCGACGTGTACGAAATTTTTAGAAGTAGTGTTTCGAAGAATCAGCAGGGAAAACCTGGATGCCATAAACACGAAGAAAAGGCCACTTTCCACGATACTTGACAGGCTTGCCACCGAGAGTCGTTCTTTCCTCCTCTCTTGCGAGCATGCAGTGGTAGCGGCAATCACTTTGGCAGTCCCATTGCTTCCACCGCAAGTATAGTGGTTCTTGCATATACCATGGACCATCCACAGGCTTCCCATCAGACGAGAATTTACAATGGTGGAAGCATTGGTCCCCCACACATCCAGATTGCTCACACTTCCCCACACAAGACCTAATAACATTACAAAGTAATTCGGCAAAGACTCTCACTTTAATCATAAGTATTTCATATCGACCAGAAAGGAAACTGTGTTGCTAAAACTAGCATAAAAAGGGGAAGGGGAGGGGGGGGAGTAGAGGGTGGCTTGCAGTTGTTTCGCAAAAAGGTCATCACAAGAAATGACAAGTAACAGATTTCGATGGAATACTATCTGACCAATGCAAATTGCATGCTCACTTTCCCTTTTTTATCATTTTGCGATGTTTGGCACAACAACAAAAACCAGTCAATGGAAAATATTTCCATGGTCAAAGACTAAAGGGAGACTTGTATAGATCACTCTGGAGAATGATTGACACCACACTGGTGAGATTAAGGATGTTTGTCAGCATTAATAATTTAGTCACCACTACCATCGTCACCACCCATCAACCATCGCAGTCACCACAGCCACTGAATTACCACCACTGTTGTTAAAACTTACCTACAACGGTCATCATTCTATTTGGTAAGACATCGATAAAATTCGATTACGATCAAACAACTTTTTATTTCTATTGTCAGCACTTGAAGATAACCAGCACTTGTTATTCGAGATCAATCCGCATCTCATCTCCAACGACCACCACCAATCTCATTTCCTCCATCAACTCCCACCGATCTGTTACGATCTTATGTTGACCAATCCTTATTCTCCAAACTCTTGAAGAACAGATTCGTCCACAACGAACACCGTACAGTAATGGACATCAGTTTCAAACACATTGAAAGTGGGATAGGTTACCAGCCACCCATCCTCAAGACCAAAACACCGTATACCTAGTCCCCGTTGCTCAAAACAATGCAATAAAGACCATTCAAATACAACAACAAAACGCCAAAACTCCCCAAAACTCTCCGAAGCAGCTGAACAAAGATTGGAGCACGCTCAAACACGGACGAAAAAATCTAATCCCGAAACAGATTCAACCGGACACCTCCGGGGGTCAAACCGAGCAGAAACATCGCGGCCCCCAAGAGTTCCGACCAAACACCTCGCATCTACCTCCGCCGCCGACGACGACGACAGAGCTGCCGAGGACTAAGCCAAATCCGCATCGCGCGAAACGGAACAAGTAGCGGCGGAGGGAGGAGCAGGAGGAGGCGGCGGCGGCTTACTTGTAAACGGGATCGGCATCGCCGGCGCTGGCGTCGAGGGAGCCGACGAGACCGGCGAGCGCGACGAGGAGCAGCGCAATCCAGCGGCGCCGGGCGGCCATCGGGCAAAGTCGAGACGCGGCGGAGAAAGAGGCGGAGGTGCGCGGGGATATCGGGCGGAGGGCGGCGGGCGGCGCGGGGGCTCGGCTCGGCTCGGCTCCAACGGATCAACGGTCGGGGGCGGCGGCGGAGGCTGCAGGGAGGGCGCGGGCGCGCGGTTGGGAGCGCGCCATGGGATCAGAAGGGGGGAGGGGATTGTTGGGGGAAAAGGCGATGGAGCAAAGGCAGGAGGAGGGTTCGAACTTGGCGGATTTTGTTTTGGCAATTTGACAGGGATGGAGCGAGTGATCTTCTGGTGGCGGTGGTGCTGGTGGTGGGGGAATGGGGATCCCGTGAGGGTGGGGGTGGGGAAGGAGGTGATTTCGGGGAGCGATTCCCAATCTGCCACGCGGACCCCTCCCGGCTCCCGATGCTATCCACGTGGGTTGACCACCGTTCACGACAAGCTCAGCTCAGCCCCCATCTTTGCTTCCAATGACCTCCCGCTACTGGTGCTTCGTCCTCCTCCTTGACTTTTCGTTCGGGCCTCGACTTTGATCCGTCCGAGCTCCCACGAGCCTGATCGAATAGCTATAGCCCAATATAGAATATTATTCCCGCGCGTTGCGAGAGTGTTTGGGGGAGTACGAGAAACGCGCCATTCTCATTGCACGGGCCAAGTTGGCCTGTCTTAAGGTCCGACTGTTTCGTGAATAATTTAAAAAGAAAAATTTCGAAAAATGATTTATCTTATCGCTTGTAAAAACGAATGAATGAAAAATTATCATTATCTTGGAGTCTTCATCTTGATTCGGTACTTTGGACCCTGATGCTCAAGCTGTTGTGACTTTTGCCTTGCCCCGGTGTGGGGGATGATCACCAACCAGGCAGTACGAAATGAAATCTGCTCAATTGGGCTAGCAAGGATATGAATGTATGGGATAGAAGAAGAACCGCTCTTCGTCATCCTAAGGCACTTAAATTATTGTGAGAGTTCATCTGCAATAAAAACACTCAAAGATTAATGCAAATGAGAGCAAGAAAATTTCTATTCATCTTTTCACCTTGTGCGAGCTGTTGTAGCTGATGATCATAGAAAATTTTAGTTATTACAAACTCCTCATCCTTTTTGTTTTGCTCATCACTGTTATCAATAAGATGTTGGCATTTTGGACAAGCTTTAGTTTGCTGCTTCTCTCTTGACAAGGCCCTCTTAGCCTCGACTATCCGGCCGTCGATGGTGTGCTTGTCTTGGAAGACTCTGTCGAGGACCGTCGGACTCGTGAAGACGACGAGGCCGAAGCCACGAGAGCGGTGATCGAAAGGGAGGGATGCTCTTCTTGCTCCTTCTGAATTTGAATTCGCCCTGTGATGCTGATTTAGCTCAAGCTGCCCCAATGTGTGGTGGTTCTTGACAGGGGTAATTTAAAAGGAACTTCCGAGTGTATGGGCTCAAATGGTCAAGCAAAGGATTAATGGAAGTGTATGGGGCAGAGAAATGAACTGCCTCTCGTCATTTTGGCTACCGTACCTTATGCGAGAAACCCCTTTACCTTGTAGAAGTGGAACCTTTTCGCTCATCTTACATGGATTTGGTACGTGAGAATGTGTATAGACTAAGGATTGCCTCTCATCATCCTGAGACACCTCGTTCAATACATCGGAGCAGTTCGACACCATTCGTTGAATTGTCAAAATTTTCACAGGGAATTGGTGAATTAAACAGGTAAAATTATCATGCGAAATTCTTTCCAAAAGACATGCAATGCACCTGGGGGAAGGTTAAGCATTTATTTGCTTTAACATGTTTCCTCTTCCTTTGTTTCGTTCTACTCTTATGAGAAGAGTTTTTAGGGAAAGAGATACTTACCTGTGCTGCAATGGCGGCGAGACAAACCTGGCAGGTAATAAAAAAGACCATGTTAATGAATGGCTCTTTGGGGAACAGGAATTGGTAACGATACAACATTACCCTTTGTGATTCCCTTCATTTGAGATCAAACTGACAACTCCTTGAGTTTTCTCAGATGTTGATAATTCCCTTCTGACAAAAACAGGAGCTTATGTTAGAAATGAGAGGATTGAGGGTAAATTGAGAACGATACAAATTACCCTTCTTCCATTTTGCCTTCAAAGCTAGCAGAGTCTTTTCTCTTCTTTACTTTGTTAAGCCTTCTCTGTTTCAGTCTGCTCCTCCATATTCTCGGTCTCGAAGCTCGAATGAAATCCTCTATAATTAGGGGTGCTCCCGAATAGAGGGTTCTATTGTCAGCGGATGCTGTGTCAATGCGGCTCCGGTACGTCGGGGAGTTTCTCGGGAATCATATGATTCCTGACATGCACAGGGTATGTGCAATTGCTTGCATGGGGATCTTCGCAGCAAAGCCAATCTCTACTTTAAAAGTCTTTGACGAACATGGGCATGACTACCATCGAGACTTCTATGGTTGTCAGGATTTGCCTTGATGCCATTTTGTCATATGCAAAGTCCTTTTCAGCTGCTTGTACCATGAGTGTTCTTTACTCAATTTTGTCCTATGTAAAAGGAAAAGATATGTCATTTTCTATGCTAAAGTGGATGAACTTTAGGAACGAAATACACCCTTTTTGATGGACTGGGAGATCGCATGCCCTCTAGTCTACTCTTCCAATTAAGCACTTCTTCGTCATGTTTCATTCGAGAGGTCCCAACATTGATGCTCTATCCGGCTCGCTAGCACGTCAGAGTCTAGCATGTTCTCCAGTTCATTATCTGCAAAAGAAAAGGGATGAAATGTCATTTCCAAAATTTGTTAAGGAATAAGACATACCTTTTTCTTTCAAAAGGGGTAATCTTTTATTGATCTGCCCCGTATTTTTGTACAAAATGATGTTTCGCTCGTCATGGGGTCAAGGAATGGTCAGCATTCTCTTTGACTTTCTAGGGTTGATATCACCCACTGGTAGTAGTGAGATTTGCCCCATGTTTCATTTGAAGATTGGATGATCTTCGCTCGGACTGCCCCTATCAGATGAGTTGGTCCGCTATCATCACCAGGGTCTGATGTGCTCTTCAGTTTGTGTCATTTCCAAATGTTCCTTTCGTAATAATAAATCAAAAGGGAGTATGCTCTGAGACACGAAGTGAGCGAATTAGAAAGACAAACAGGGCTATGAGCATGCATGCTTTTTCACCACCGTTCTTTTTCGGTCCTTTTGAAAAATGATAAAACGTTTGTTTTATTTTCAAAAGCTTAGAGACAAGGAAGCATGAGGAAGCCCGGGCCTCAGAACACTTTTCTTTTCGTGGCTGGATATCATCAACGGGCCGGTTTGGAATACTTCCTCAGGCCCTCAAAACAAAACATTTGTAATTCTTTTGAATAGTTCAGGCGAATTACATTTGTTGGAATGGAAATTGCAATACTAAAATTCTAAGCATAATTACAAATTCAGAAAACTGGGAATCTTAGAAAACAACTAGGACTTTAGAAAGCAAGAAAAGCTCCTACATAGGAGGATACAAACTATTAAATATGCCTCTATTCTAAAGGAGGAAAATTGAGTCTACAGTTTACTCAATGACGACATCCGTGCCTCCTGCTTGATTGGGTGGTGCGTTGCGGAATGAAAATATCTTTGCATCCGGCAATTTCGGACCTTATTTTTCAAGACAGCACGATCATTGACGGAATGTCCCATTTCACCCAAATGATAGTCACATGCTTTGGAGGGATCGTAGTTGGGGAAACGCTCAGGATTTTCACGCTTTGGCTCTTTAGCAAGCAACCTCTTTTCCAGGAGAATAGGCAGGATCTGAGACATAGGCAAAGGGAGTGGCGTGAACTGCTTTTTGTTATTTCACCTTTGGGGCGACTTGCGGCCTGAGGCCGGTTGCTGTCCACTACTCATCTGAATCATTGGGGAAGGACGAACGGTTTGGGTGTATGCAACATCCGCATATGTCAGGGGTTCTTTCTCCTTCTTCATGCCGAGTTTCTTGCTTGTGGAAGTGGGGTCTGTAAACCACCCCTCACGCAATCCCATTTCGATTCGTTCACCCACAGGAACAAGATGATTAAGGGATTCAGCAGTGGCACCAACCAGGCGGTGTCTGTATTCATATGGAAGAGACTTTATGAACAATTTCACTTGTTCATGATCAGTGAGTTGTGGGGTAACCTGGGCGGCCAAGTTTCTCCATCTGGTGGCATACTCTTTGAAGGACTCACTCTTCTTCTTCTTCTCAGCGCGTTCCAGATCGTCACGAGTAAAGGTGACGTCGAGGTTGAATTGATAATGCTTGAGGAATGCATTAGCGGCATCATCCCAAGACTTAAAAGTATCCACATCCTTCGACATATACCATGTCAGGGCTGGCCCCGTCAAACTCGCTTGAAAGGTCTGAATCATGAGGGGTTCGTTGTCAACGTACTGGGTCATCCGCACATGATACATGTGCAAATGATGTCTGGGGCATGAGGTACCGTCATACTTCTCGAATTCCGGCATCTTGAATTTTTTCGTACTTTGACCCGTTTGTATATAGACAGTCAAGTGGGACAAAGATCTTCGGGCCTCAGTAGCTGTTTCAAGCATCTCCTCGACCTTTGCAAGGCGTTTGTCATGTTCTGTCATCGGTACAACTTCAAGTTCAGGCTTCCTGACAGCAAGGGGAAGCAGATCGTCCTCCAGCAGGGGCATTTTACTGTCATTGGCGGAGGCTTTGTCTATTCCAGTAGACGGTGGTGGTGACACCACTTCAATTGCTGCAGGCGTGGGTGTGAGCTTGCCCTGAATGGATTCCACCTGCTTTGTGAGATTTTGGATCGCATTGAGGACCATTTTCATTTTGTCCTCCATGTTATTGAGACGGACATTTTCTTCGGCCATTTTTTGTATCTACCTAAGAAAACGCTGATATGAATGAGTATAATGCCCAATAAAGAATCATTCTATGACTTAGTCATATTATTATTGCATATTTTCTTTATTTGCAAAGAAAAAAATAAGCAAAAAGGGTTTTTATTAATATTAACATTACAGGCGGCGTCCCCGGGGTTCGAACCCCGTTCGCCTCGGACCGTTTGTGCTACATCC